GCGAATTATTTAGAAAACGGTATTTAACAGTCGCACGTGGCATACAATCGTATTCTATCGTATTTACCTATCGACTACCGTGCAGTATTATAACATCGGAATAAATTCGTTCGGTCATTATCATATAATGTTATGCGCTATCAAATGCTATAGTATAATATCATGCATATTTTCTTACACTCAAAATAATTTAATGAAAACAGTATGTTGGAAATACTTTCACTGAGTCGTGGAATAATGACAAAGAAATAATCAATAATAATAGTAATAATTATTCAATTGATTAAAAATAATATAATAATAAATTAATAATAATTATCATCAAAGTTGTAGGACATGAATAATTGCGATTTTCCATTATGTGCGCTTAAAACACTCATTATGTTTTCACCTGTGTGTGTGTGTACAGTCCAACCGCGTCACATGGGACATTATAGGCTCAACCATTGAACTTGAACAATCGATTAAAAAATGTATCTACGGTTGTGAGATTTATTCATCAATTAAGACGAACAATATGCGTATGATTGGCAAACAATAAAATCAATTTATACCCATTGAGTTCTGAAGAACGCCTGCGTAATATCATTTACAAAACACTGCGTATACAAACCGTGTATAAGAAATTCAGGAAGTAATAAATACATATGATTGTTTTTGAAGATGTTACACAATTTTAATAAACGCCGTTTACGATTAAGTAAAAACCGGATCTATACCGTCGAGTATACGACATATTGTAACAATATAGGTATAGTTATTATAACGAGTATAACGTCATCAAAATTTCTTCTTATACTATTATGAATATATATATATATATATGCTAACAAATTCCAAAATATTTATGATGTTAAATTCTTATCTAACGACTAATACGGACCACTTGTAAAAACCAATATTTTTAACACAAAAAACTACTTTACTCATAATGACATAACGTGACATAACAAAGTTACGTTCAGCAGAATCGACCTTGTGTTATTACCCGTATTATATCAGAGAGAATTATTGAACGTCGATTTAAGAAGATTATCTACATTTGTACGTTGGCTTTTTAATAATATTTCAATTTGTTTGGTGATATAATATTAGTATTTTTATTTTTTAAATTGCAATGTTTTACGCTGTTACAATTTGTATACAAATTGAAATATCGTAAAAAATTAGTTGCATCCGATATCCGGATTGCGTGCACAATTTTTTTGTAACGGAGCGAAGCTGCGTGCGAGTATTTTTCGGGATAGGCCTGAATTGCACGCGTAAAAGTATGAGCAGACGACCGGTTTTTAACGACCGGCTCATATACCGTATAGGTACTAATTTAAATGTAACTAGTAAATTCAATATACTGTGTCTTAAGTTTTCTCCGAGGAACGGGATTAGATTAATAAATGGCGATTATTAATGAGTGTATATCTATCATGTGATATGTATATAACGATGATATTAAACATAGAATTATTTGTAATTTTCGATGGTCAGTTAACATCCAAATCGGTTAAACGACAAACGATAAAAATGGAAGTTTGTGTAATGTGCAGTGTAAAAAATAAATATTATGTATGATTAATGGCTATAAATTTCATTTCAATAAGTTTTTAAGTATAACAATATTTAAGAATGGGCATGCGCACAAAATGAATGTGTTAATCGTATTTTAAACTAAATAAAAATAGTAAAATTTACACTATTTTTGGACAAAAAGTTACCAATAAATAAAAACACAAAGCTTTAGACTTTAGACGATTCGTGTGAAAAGCCGTATAAGATTTTACATCAAGAATTACATGAAGGGGAAATTAATGGTTTGATTACTATCCAAACCATGTGCATTAGAAAAAATTTGCATTATGTGAGTTCAAGTATGATTCCAAAGTTGCCTAAAAATTTAATGGAACTTCATTTGGCACTAATAAATTAAGGTGAAATTAAAATAAATCTAGATGAAATATTTTTGCTTATAAATAATTCAGAAAAAAAATATTGTAACGTTTTCAACACAAACTGACTTTAAATATTTAACTGAACGTTTTTTTTTTTTTTTTTTTATGTTGATGGTACGTTTAAAAGTTCCCTTAAACCATTTTATTTGTGTATTATTATATTTATTTTATACATGGAACTAAAAATGCAAATTATACTCCCCTAGTATTTTTTTTATTTACAGGTAAAATTACAAAAAACGCATACAAATTATCCAATTTAATAGACACAAGATACAATTAATGAATTGAATTTGACTTTTACACCACGTAATTAACGTTGATTTTAAGCAAGTAATACACTCGGCAATTTTGGAGATTTTTCCCGAGGTAGTACTTTAGGTTAAAGACAGAAACGCGAATCTAAATAGTTGGCGAAAAATCGTGTTATTGATGGAACGATAAACATAATATGTATAGTTATAAAATTAACTGATCGCCGATCGCTTTGTAACGATCGCCATCTATTGGTAACAGCTGGAAAGTGGTAACGTTTAGTCTGTTAACTGCCACGTCCACTGGGCTGCGTGCGATAATCCGATAAAAAGATAAGTCGATGAGTTGTATATCCAAAAGAGTGGACAGAAATCGTCTGAAACAGATAGGTGTACGGTAAATTATTCATCTGTAAAATGTATGTATTTTACCGTAATTAATCACGTGTAAAAATACTTACATACGTAATATTATAGGTACTATACTTATACCACTTATCAGGATTTAGTATGACTCGTGATATATAATCGGCAGGCGATTGCTGTAAACAGTGTAAACACTTGAATTTGTCGGCTTTGACCTTGTTATAAATTAAAGACATTAATATTTCACACAAAAACACAGTATAATGTATATTATATCATTTGAATTTTTCAAATTTATGCATGAAACCTATTACCTAGTTTTCTTATAATTTAAATTTTACGCACTTAACAAAAGTTGATGTGAAATGTAGGCTAATATATTTAATATTAGATAATAAACATTGATTATTTCTGTCAATGTAGCTTTTTATTTTATTTATTTTTAATCATTCATCTACGTATGCTCTGAAATATTATAAAAAAGAATCACAAAAAATACATTTTTTTAATACAGTAAAGCGTAAGCCATTTTTGGGCTTATAAATTATAATTTGTTTTAATTAAAATTTAAAATTTAATATATTTTTTTTATATTCTGATTGGAACGATGTGTTGATTTTACAATAATGTACTTTTTTTTTTTGTGTTTGTATACTCGTACATGATAAATAATCAAACGTTTTGGATAGATTTTCAAAATAGAGAATGGTTTCAAATAAAAAATTGGACCAATAGCAGATACCTAGGGGAAAAGCGATTGGAGAATCAACTCCTCTTTGAATTTTCATTTATATGGGTATATAGGTAAAGGTAAAAGATACATTAAACCATATAATTTTGATAAATTTTTTTTTTTTGCTAGTCAATTTTATTATAATGATGAGAAGTCATTGTAATCATCAATAAAAACGATTATTATCTATATTTGTAGTAAACAATCACTGCATTATTGATAATATAGTGATTTAATGGCTTGATTATCTAATGTTTGAAATGTGAAGTATCTATCCCAAAACTCTTGAATTAGGGAAATATTTGATTATTTAAAAGAAGAGTTTGTTAGAATTTCGAAAAATACAAATTATTTTGCAGTTAAAAATTCATGAAAAATTTTCTGTTTATACCAAAAATTTGAAATTTGAATAAAATATTGTTTATAAGTTTTACAACCATTATTAAACAAAAAAAATCTATCGGAAAATCAAATTTGATTAGTTTTTCATTAAGTTCAAATGTTTACGACATTGTATATTATCCCGCATAATAATTATTCCTCGTCAAATGATTTTTGTCAAAATGAATAACCGAAATTACTTAAAAATTTTTACCAAATGATTAAATTATTATTTTCTATACGTGGTATAATTTTCAAAATATTTTAACTCTTTTTAAACTTCTTATTACATATATTTTTAACAACAAATACCAGATGAGAATAAATTTTTAAAAGCTATGATACATTATTTATTTTTTTCAAATTAAAGGTTACATTTTACAGCATAAATGAACACATTATAATAAAATAGTATTGGTAGACTACTCAACTCCAATACTACTGTAACAACACATTGTTTTTAATTCAAATGCTGATTGATATATATTTTTTTTATTATGATAAGTGATAACTTATACTTTTCAACATACACGTACGATACGTATTATTGATTATAATATGTCCATTCGCCTTTGTAAATACTTAAATATTTATGTTCATAATGACATAAATACATTCTGAAGAGCTGTCAAAAACACTGCTACTAAATAACACCATTTATTCAGAAATTCAATAAATTACTAAAGTATAGAGATAGATTAATTATTGAAATCAATTATAACAGGTAGCAGGATGACTGATTTCAGAATACTTCAAAATATTTGTATAAAAATCTGGGAACTAAATTCAAGTACTTGCCGAGTATCTGCTGTCAAAATATTTTAATGTTACTTTTATAAACAATGGAAACTATACGTATCTATTTCAGTTTCTTGCGTACTTAGTCTGTTACAGTGAATTAATATGTATTCGACGTGGAGAAATTTGAATCTAACATATTATATTGGGAAAGTAATTGGTCTCTTTCCATTTAGTGGAAACCATAAGAAATTATCGTTTTGTTATTCACTGTTTGTATGGATTTTATTGGGTTTCGCGAGTTTATCACACTTAAACGAACTTAAAGAATTTATTCGTGAAAAACCACCATCACAAAGATTGTCATTATATGTAAATCATTTTATTTATTTCGTAACGTATCTATATTAAATATTACATGAAATAAATAATTACTGTAATATCTGATTTCAGGTTATTTCATTCGAGACATTTGTTAACTTTTCTGTGTCGTTTATTAACATATTACTTTCAGCAAATAATAGTAGACGATTTTTTAATGTAATTGATTCATTTTATTGTTTTGATGAGCTTGTACTACAAATGCATTGTTCATCGAATTATAAGGCACAACAATTTTACTTATTTTACGTCTTACTTGTCGGGATCTACAATATAATTTTATTTAAGTTCTTTTCGTATGGTAATAATTTTATGATATTTTTATGGAGCTTGATCAATGTGTTGGCAATGGTAATAATATCACAATATATTATATGTATAAGAATGCTAAGAGACAGATACAAATTGGCTAACATCGTATTTAAAAACTGTAAGTACTTTTTATAATAATTAAATGTACATTAATATTATTTGAGAGTTTATTAAATATGATGATTATTCGAAGTATCCACAAATATCTTATCGGTAGTTAAATTTATGGGTGCAACACGATTGCGAACGTTCTATCTTTTTTATAACACGATAGCAAACGAATGTAGCTTATCAAAAAATTTGTTTTTTTTTTTTTAGCCGAAAAAACGAATACGTTACAAACTAAAATAAAATAATATAAAATAATATGAAGTGTTTAAAATATTGATTAATTAAAATAATTTCTGATTATAAATATTAATAATGCTATTACATGATGAACTGAAAAAAATAAAAATTATAAAAAATAATAGATTTTAAAATGTTTTTCTATATAATTTTCTTTTTATTTAAAATTTTTTTCTAAGTTAGAAATTTCCAGTTTTTTGTAAATATAAAATTAGATCCTTGTGAATTTTATAAATTATAATTATTATAATTTTTTAATGTTGATTCAATTTTAGATTTATCTTTTTTGACCATAAGGTTTTGTAAATTGTTTTGATAGCGTAGTAACAGAAAACCCTTATACCTACTACTTAATTATTTTGAAAATTATTATTTAAAAATTTGTAATTGACTAACACCAAATCTGTCAACACCGAACAATTATAGGTTGGTAAAAACATTCGCAATCGTCTTACGGGAAAAGGTCAGTTCGCAATCGTATATCACACAAATTTATAATTTAGTTTTGTCCTACCTAGCCTAAGATTATAACCATGATATATTACACAACACTTAACTATCATGAATTGTGTTGAAATGAAAACAGATTTTTATTAAAATTTGTATTAACTGCAAAAAATTGCATCAATATTAAAATTATATATATTTACAGAGTAATTCATCAACCATGCTTACACCCTTTTTTATTCTAAAATAATATAGTTATATTATAATATTTGATTTTTGGAATTTCTAAATATACTCCGATTATATTTTCAAATGATTGAGATTTTTTGAACTAGTTAAGGAATATCTTGTGGAAATAAGCTTTTTTTTTACTTTAAATGACAACTTCTCATTAATACAGTAAATTAATTTATGGATAATCTTTCTGAAATGTTGGCGTATTAAAATCAAAATTTTAACGAGTAGTTTTCGATTTTATTTTGTGTAAAAAGGATAATCCGTTTATGATAATAAATTTAGAAGGTATGAGGGTTATGTTAATTCAAATATTTTAATTATTTATATTAATCTATTAATATTTATAATTTATAAAAATGAACCAAGTACTAGGTTAGATTTGGTATTACATTTATTCTATTTATTTTTATAAAACAATTTTAAGGATTATTAGATTCGATATAACTATTTTAATAACTAAATAATTAATTTAAAATTTAAATTAAGTACATCAACATTTAAAAATTTCAAAAATCAAAATTTGAATAAATGTTTTATTAAATAAAAAAAACAGGATAATGCATGCTTAGTGTATTGTTGTGAATAAATAGGTAACTAAAATAATTAAACTCTATTTTTGCATAATGTTAGTTTGCACTTTTATACTAACAATGATACATTTTAATTTTGCACGAAATAAAAATTAATATTCCTGTATAAATTCATCAACCTCGTCAAATTTAGTTCGAAATAATAAATGTGAAAAAACATTGGAGTTATTATTATTTTTAGCTTTAAACAATCCAACTACCACTACAAAATATTTCTATCCGACCGAAGTACTTAATTTATTCATCGAACTACGAAATTTGACAGAAGAAGTAAAAACATATTATGCTTTTCATGCATTATTGGTCATCATTGAATCAGTTTTACTAATTTCTTCAGAAGTAACAAAATTATCGTTTATCTCCATCGATAATAATATCAAAAATTTTAAAATAATTACATTAGCTTCAATATTTTGTACTTTAAAGATTATATTTATATTTTTTATAGTTCGAGAAGCACATAACACTATACAAGAAGTAAGTCTTTTAAATTTATTATTTATTTATTATTTTTAAATAGTCATTATATTATTTTATAATTTATATTAAATCTAAAGAATATTAAAAAAAAATTATAAATTAACATTCTCCTAAAATTAAACTATTATAAAAAATAGCACTTGGTCAGATAATCGAAATATTTAGATAAAACGTGTTTATTAAAATTTCATGTAGATAAAATTTTAAACTGTAAAATTTTCTTCATATAATTGACATTTTTAAAGTATTAATTTATATATAACATTTTTGTCAGAAATAATAATATTAAATGATATATAAGTTCAGTTATAATTTCAGTAAATTTTATTCAATAAAAACGTTAAAAAAATAAACTTTTAGAAAACCAATTGGTATCATCTACTTTCTATGTAATTAATAATTATGAAACATTTGTAATTTTACATAAATTAAATTATTTGTTAATAATTAAAAATGTTTGTATTATGATATAGGCTGTATACTTATATTAACACATTAACAAACCATAAAATGGTTCGTGTTTTTGTTTAAATAAAACAACTTTAAATTTTATTCAAAATTAATGATTAGAGTTATAATTTTCCAAGATTTAATCAAGGAAATTGTTTTTGAATTCTACACATTTAAATAAAAGTTATTTTCATGATATTTCTATGTTATTACATTGACAATTATTAAGATTTTAATTTTCTATGTTCATATAGAAATCAGTTATTTATAAAGAATATAAAATACTTAAATACTCTATTTTTAGATTTTATGTGCACCTATAATAGCGTGGTGTTGTTACTTAATACAATAGCTTTTTGTGAGACTTATTATAAACATATGCATGTCAATAATTAAATGTAATAATATGCTTATTGTTATGCAGTCAAAGAAAACTGTCTTGATCGCCCATGATATACTTCAAACTACGATAAACAATGGAATTATCAAAGAAGTAAAGTGTTATTATTTAACTTATTAAAGTCTATGTACACTAATTAAAATTAAAATATTATTCATTACATAGTTTGAAGTATTTGTATTGAGTTATTGGAACAATCCAATCATATTTGATGTGTATAATTTTTTTAATTTGGACTACAAACTTCTTCAATCAGTAAGTTTCTTGAATATATTTATTTAATGAAAAAACAATGAACTATCAAACATTGAAAATAAAATATAGAAATTTACGAATCAAAAATACTAAATAATTATCCAATTATAGGTTATAGGTTATAGTTATGTACATACCGTATTAAATAATGCTATAAGTCATTAGGTTTGATTCAATAGAGTTAGAAAAAGCGTGTATGAATTTTCAACTCGTAATATAATGATCTGTTAAGTATTTTTTTTATTACATTACACGCTGAGAAAATTAAAATTACAAAAATAATGAAACACTTAAACTATACTAAATTTTATTTTATTTAATGAAGGTTAGCACTTCGCATGTATTATCTTATTACCACGTGTTTTTAGTACTTAACACTAACTATTTCAGTCTTTTATTTGTCCAACCTAATCGCAATATTATAAAATAGGTAATTATTTAGTATAAAAATTGGTTTTTCCGGTTTTTCGGTTGTAGTTTAGTATAAAAAATACATTTCGTATGCACACTACATTCAGTGGTACCAAACTCCCAACTAGAGATGGGAAGGAGGTGGTATCCTTAGAAACTTGAAATTATATCATGAATCCTATATTATAATATTATGTAGTCGCATAATTTGTTTAACTGTTTAACTTATATTGCAATTTTACGTGAGAATATAAATTATTTTGAAATTAATACCAGTCACTAGTCAGTGTTTTATCTTCTTACCTAAAAATGAATCCTGGCTGAACTGGCCAGTCACTGAATCTATACTTAATATTTATATTTTACTTAAAAGGGTCTGTTAACGTACTACTATTTTTGTTTATTCTCTGACTCACAAACAACTATTGACAAAAATCATGCATAAAATCATTTTTAGTTAATTTTTAATAATCATAGAATAAATTTAACTATTATAAAGTGTATAAAAATAATATTTTTAAGGTTTAACAAATTAGTTTTGTGTTTCACTATTATATTTTTTTTAAAGTTATATTTGACTTAAAATAAAAAATAAAAATAAAATTGTAAATTTAAATAGACTTTAATTTTTTTTTAAATAAATATTTAGATAACATTGTATGTCATTATTTGAATAGTTCATTAAACTCTAAAATTACTCAAAACTACGAGAAAAAAATTTACTGAATATATATGATATTAAAACTGTTGTGTACTTGCGTGTATATCAGAAAAAAACAAATAATGCTTTTATTGATAGGCACTTTTATTATAATAACACTATTATTGATTTATGTTATATAATATTTAACCAAATTTATTTTTCAGATTATTGCATCTATCGTCACGTACCTTGTAGTTTTGATTCAAATTCAGTTGGCAATATTCATGCAATAACAAAAAAAATTTAAAAAAATAGATATACCTATACGTAGTACGTAGTATAATGAATATGTTATGATTGGGGCCTGGAAGTTATATGATCTAAAAAGTCAAAATATACATGAACAATTATTAAATATGTATGAAAACAAATGTGAAATATGCGAAAAAAATTAATAAATATGCAAAAACATATAAAAATGTCGTTATTGCTTATTGTCAACTCGAATGTCTACGGATCTTCTTCACGATAAAATAGTATTTTGACATTTTAGCATAGTAAAAATGAAATGCGAATCGCTCCGTTGTTGCTAAATTAAGACGATAAAATATAACAATAAATAACTACGATAAATAATATTGAGTTTTATTTTTATACGGATATAATCAAACTTAATCAAACTTATATCCGTAGTTAACGGATATAATCAAACTTTACGTGTTCTTTAGATAAAAACAACTTACATTTATGTTTATTAAAGCTTGTACATTTACGTGTGTAATAAATATTGTATTTCAATTTTCAGTACACAAAGTGAACGACCACATTGTGAAAAAAATTACACGATGTTAAATTAGTGTGACCATTTCATGAAAAAGTGACCATATTGTGAAATATTTTCGAACTTCACGAAGTGTAAAAAATCTGTTTCCATTTCATAAAATGGTCATCTTTTCATGAAAAGATCAATTTCATCAAGTGGCTACGACATATATATATATATATATATTTAAAAAAAAACTATTTTTCAAATGTCCTGAATGATGAAGACTCGATTCTAGAATAAAAAAACCATTGAAATATTGATTATATAGTGCTGTATAATGCCTTGATTATCCAAATAAATATTTTAAATGTAAAATACCTGTCTAAAAACTGTTGTATAGGAAAGTATTTAAACAGGAGTATGTATTTAGAGATTTTCGTATGGAAGGGGTGTGGACATTTATAGAAATTAAAACCAACAAAACTTGAATATTTTTCGTATTAATTTATAAATTTTAATTTTACCTCTACCTTCTCAGAACTACAAGGATAAATCAACCACAAATGATGGTCCACTTTGAAATTGTAATTCATCAATATATTTTTAAGATTTCTATAACATATCAGGTATATAATTTTTCTAATATAAAATCTGTAATAACATCTGTGTGCTTAAAACCTATTACTAGCAAAATAAAAGGTATATATAGTGGCATGGACGCAAAGTGCTTATCTACAATCAAAGGCATAAAAGACAAAATATGTACTTCTACAAAACGCTAACCAACAATTTTCTCATGCAGTCAAAAATAAATACATAATTAACTTTACAACCAAGCAAATATTGAGCAAATATTGTGTCGTGGTCAACTTCTGTCTCCTATTGATGTTTCATTTCGTATTTGATTGTTCATTATGACTGATTATTCTTCGTAGATAGGTCGTACTCCGCAAGCATATAAGTGCACATTAAATGTCGCTAATCAAATATGTATATCTTACTGATATATCTATTATATCAAAAAGGGGCTGTGAAGCATAATTTTCCGTAAAAATGGATTTTATTTAAATAATATAAACATTATACACGGCGTACCTATTATATTTTAGTGATACTATGATAATAGTATAGTATAAAAAATGAACTGTCATGATAATGATTCGTTTTTATTTCTCTCAAAATATTGGTGTGCGCTGAGTAATCCATTATTTATATGCAATAATATATTGTTACTCGTATAATAATAATATTATATTAGATGGATAGACTTCAAAGGCCAAACTACTATAAATATCAACGGTCAACCGCAATTTTTTACCACGAAAATTGTATTATTATTAGGTATATTTTGAAAATGTTTACTTTTATTTGAATTTAATACCTATAAATCTAGTATCTATCTATCATTATTTCACATAGACCTACGCAAGTATACGAATTGATTGACAAGGATTTACTAGTTTACGGTAACAGATATAGATCGATGATTTATGACTTGCTGATGTATGTTTATATAGCTCTATTAATCCATTACCTGTTTATATTCGATTAATGATAAGTAATGTTGTGATTTTAGATAATACGGTTGAACGTTTGAAAATAATATGATAATAAGACGATTTACGATTAAATCAATTATATTTATAACGTAAAACGCATACGCTAGTAAAATTTAAGTCTGTTAAACCAATGATAAAAATCTCTCTTGTTCATTCCTAGGCTCAAGAGTTGATATTGTTATCACGGCACTGATAAGAATAAACGAGTAAATGGACGAGAGTTATCGATAATTTTGACTTTAAAAAGTTAATTAGACTAGATAAAAAATGTAAAAAATTAGTGTATATTTTAAATTGTTTATTTATTACCTTTGTCGTTGATAATATTATTTAGTTGTGAGCCATCAAAACGTTCATGTTCCAAGTCCCCCTCTCCTTTGAGGAAATCTCAAACATAACCCAGTTATAATCAAATAACTGTGTGCACGCCGTGCATATTGTATCTAGTATAAGCAACAATAAAAAAATTGATAACACGTACTGCGATATGGTTTTCTTTGCATTACAATTACGCACAAATTTAGTCAGAAATCGAATGTTTTTTTTCAAAGATATTTTTTACGAGTTCAATAATTGTACGTGATTTTTTTTTTTTTTTTGAAAATCGTGGTAGGTCCATAAAGTATATTATTATGTACTAACACGCTGTATTTTTAATCGTTTTACATCACACTCGTAGGCGGGCGCAGACTTCTGAGTCAGGTATGGCTAAATTCAATCTGACCACCCACCCTCCCCGCCATCACGGTCGTACAAGAAAAAAATTATGCCTATGAGCAACCAGTATATCTCTAATCGTGCAAATATCTATGATTTTGATTTATTTTGTTATCAATTTTCCACGGCTTTAATGCCTCATTACTTTTTTAGGTACCAAGTACCCGCCCTCTTATAGAAAAACGATCAGATGGGGTTAAAGCCCAATCAGCCCTACTCGTGCGCACGCCTATGATCACACCCCGTACACGTTTTGCACCGACAGGCGCAACAGCAGTGCAGTGTAAGTCAGTGATTTAGATAACGTGTTGCCGCCGCGAGGCGTATTATTTGAAAAACAAACAAAATCGTCGAACAGATCAAAGCCGTCTTATGCGGGGAAATACGCCGCAAACGTTCGGCGAATAATAACCATTGGTAAAAAATGTAAAAAACGTACGTAGACCAGCGGCATTACAACATCGTAATCAGTGATTTCATAGTTTCCCCGTTGAAATCGCGATCTCGAATAAACACGTATTATACTTCTTGTCTGCAATGCCGTTCAGATCGTCATCGTTATTATTGTTATTACCGCACAACACTCGGTACGGACGAGTGTGATGACACGGAACAATAAAAATATTAAAAAAACCGCACAGTGTCGGACCGGAGTGGTGAAGCTCTAGGACGCGTTATCCCCACTCCGACGAGTCACCTGTTTCGATGTGCGCGTGCAATTCGTTTGATCGGTGAAGGGTAAACCGTCGCGACGGTGAGTTTGCAGTTGTTTACCGTGCGTCGACCCGCACGCACGTCAGCAAGACGATCGTCGACCCGTCCAGACTGCGACCGTTGCCGCGTGGCCAACGAGAACAGAGCGACCGCCGGATATCCGACCGCGTGCCGTACACGTGCGTTCCGTCGACCCGATAATTCCGTTCACATGGACGTCGCGACGTCGGCCGCCATCTGGCCGGCACGCCGCCGTTGACCCGTCCGGAAGTGCTCGTCGATTTGCCGTGTACGACACGCAGACGCACCTCAAGTCGCAGGCCGACGATTCGTTCTTCAGTCCTGCACGGTTCGGGGCTTCACCGTACGCCAGTCGACCATGTGCACACCGACCGCCGCGCAGTGCTGCTTGGTCGCCGCGATCTTCGCGGTGACCGGGGTGGCGGCCGTCAGTAAACATCCGGTGATCGTGGTCGTGTCGTTCGACGGTTTCCGGCCCGATTACATTCAGCCCCGCCTGACGCCCACGATGGCCCGGTTCCGGGACGCGTCCGCCAGCCCGCCGTACATGCGCAGCGCGTTTCCGACGAAGACGTTCGTCAATCACTTCACCATGGCCACCGGAATGTACCCCGAGACGCACGGGGTGCTCGACAATTACATGTTCGACCAGAACTACAATACGATCCACTACACGTACGATCAGTTCCACTACGACGATACGCTGGTGCCTATATGGGTAAGGAAGTCCCGCCGCCCACGCGACATTGTTGTATATTTTAATATTTTTGGTTTTTTTTTTTTTTTTTTGTGACGCGAATGCAGTAAACTAGGTCTTAGCGAAATCAGTTCCCACCATAAGTCACATGTGGTCTGAGACATTTGGTGAACATATTACAATTCAATTTGTCGTGAAAAATAGACCGAGGACAATTATTGGTGCGCGTACTCCATGATAGTTTTTTGTAGACGTAACTTGTAAAACGTGCAAACAGCAGAGGTGTATTGCAGGATGACGAAATATAAACATTCGTGGTACCTATACTTAATTTTTTGTAATTTTCAGTCCTCAAATGGTATTTGATAGACATCGGGTAATTATCAAAAAATATATTTTGAGAACCAATGGCCTTTTTTCTGCAATAGGTATATCGTTTATGAGTATCACTGGGTTCTTTGTTTTATGGACGTATTCAGTTGTATGTGATTTTTTTGGATCCACGAAAGACTAGTTTCAAAAGTATTAAGTATTTATATCTCTTAAGTAATAATTATAATAAGGTCAACAATTAAAGATGATTGTTTTCTGCTAAAAAAAAGTTCTCTAATTTACGCATATTATTTTTCCATTAAAACAAAAAAAAAAAGAGGTAATGCTGTATATGGTTGTACGATCTTCATCTTTATTTACCAATATCAAAACATACATTTTGATATAATATTATAAATATACCTATCTCTACGTATAATATTGTCTAAAAATTAAAACCATTGGTTTTCAATTTTTTTTTTTTTTTTTGACGATAATCGGAAACCGTATCTTATTAGCGGAAAAGAGCTGTGGTAAAAACAGGAAACACCTCATAATTCTGTTCTTGATTTAATGATAAGGTTTTTACCATTGTTAACCTACGAATGTTTTTAATTATACATCACTAAAACGATCATATTATAATTATTAAATTGCGACCTCTCACGCGCATACGAGACGAATATGAAGAAACGATAAAAAATTCTATTATTAGTACGACAATTCGGCAATAGGTACTGATATGGGTAAGCTGGAGCCGATTTCCCGAGTGACTCGCCATCGACAAACGACGATACAGGCTTAGACTGTATTCCTGATTCTAGCCAGACCGTTTTCTAAGTGCTCATCCATTTACTGCTCGAACTAGTATGGCGTAGTGATGGTCGCGATTTTCCGATTTGACCGATGGAGCAGGCAGACCGGCGCCAAAGCTTATGTGATTTACAATATTTTGTCGTGTTTCTTGTTGATATTTTATAACAATATGTGGTATGGGTCTGTGACGATGGTTCAAGATAATCTCGGAATTGAAAAGCCTTCTTGACTACCCTGGCCTTGGTCAAAAAAAATGTTATAAAAGTATATCGCATCAGCGTGTTGATTGTATACATTTTTTAAATTTTATAAAATGCAATAAAAATAAAACATATAGGTGTAGAACGAAAGAATAAAATATCGTCGCTTCTATCTTATTTAACTATTTTTTTTTTTTTATTTAACAATCTTTTATGCACTCGTATGAGCAATATCTTAAACAAAATAACTACGTTTTATTATAACTGTCCACATTATAATCGTTGATTGTAACTTTTTGTAGGACCTACTGGCATACTACAGGCGTTTCAATGATGCCTGGTCGAGTGCACATATTTTCGCACCGGATAGAGTGATATTTAGTGAATGCCAAATTAATTGTTATGAGAAATATGCTATTATTACACGAGCTCCCAAACCGATTAAGTGGATTATCCATTCTGTATAATCAGGTCAATGTCTTCATACATATCATACACAATCATGCACGTGAGACGGTTGTGATGGCAGATAATGCCTAACGTACGACGTAGTTTTCAGTTTTCGGAAAAATTGAGTGTCTTCTCTTATTTCACGTCCAGTTGGTTTCAGCGATCAATATTCTGATGGATGTACGATTATTTGTGACTGGCATCTTTAAACGAACAGTAATTATTCTGCGCGAATACAATATTAAAACAATAATAATGATACTCATATACATTAAGACCTCGCCACTGGACGGGATCCATCGCATAATAATTGATCCATCCTATCACGTGACTTTTTCACTTTTTTGGTGTTACCATCTTTTCTTGAGCATACCGCTGGCAGTACTGAGGTTATAAATAAAAGCCAATAAAAATCAAAATGTATTAATACACATATTTTTACCTATCTAAAATGGCATTTCATATGTACAATTGAACGTACAATGGTAATATAATTTTACAAAAAACACTTTCTATGCTTTTATTGATTTTGCTGCTTTAATATGTTCATAATTGATTATCTGTCAACACGAGTTGAATTTAAAAAGTTGATTTTGAATTATTCCTAATAATTTAAGTGCTATTCGAATTTTACAAGGTATCAAGTCAATTCAATAAGCAATAACAGAATTTATACATCCAAAATATATAAGTAGTACATATCTGTATGTTCACAGCAATTTTCAGAAGGAAAGTTAAAAAATTTTAAGAGAGAATATCCCTCTCAAACTCATTTTTTTTTCGTTTAACACAAAATAACAGTGATTTTTATGAAGAACTTTATACACGCCTTTTTCATGATAATACAACCAAATTTTTTATAACCCATAAAAATATTGTTAACATGACATTATGTAGAGTTTCATAAAAATCACTGTTATTTTGTGTTACACGGAAAAAAATAAGTTTGAACGGGATATTCTCTCTTAAACTTTTTAATCTCTCTGCTGAAAAGTTTTGTGAACATACGCGCTACCTATACATTTCGTATACTCGCCACAGCAGGCTGAATTTGTCTATAAGTTAGATGTATTATAAAATACATTTATAAATTTCAATATAGATAAGCTGAGTTAAATTTTAATGTACTTATTTAAATGTTATAAATGATTTATTTATGTTTGTAAATTTTATGAATGTGATTTTAATTTTTGAATTGGATATTGATAGGATATTGATAGCAATATTATTTTATTATAGATCACTTTACAATATCAAACGATAAAAATGTTAAAGTCACGTGGTTGCGGGGCAAGATACATTTTGATTGATCAATTTCGTCAGGTGGAAGAAATATAATAAAAGAGTAGGTACTCACCATAAAAACAATATTACTATAGATCAAAATTAGTTTCTTATTAATTGTAGGACATGATGTAATAATTATTTTTCAAATATTTCAAATATTAAAACACAATTTCCAAATTTATTTTAAAATTTTTTTTGGGATTTAAATATTTAATTTTTATATTCAATAAAAATATACTACAATATCAAATACATACTTATATATCATAACCGTAATCCAAAAGATAAAGGCTATATAAAAAAAAGAAAAAAGAAAAAAATATAAAAGATAAGTAATATAAAAGATTGGTCGAACGATTAAGCATTCCTGTAATCTTTATCATTTTTGTCCACACGAATAATTCAAAAATGTTTGTCAATACGAATGCCTAATAATCTTACTGATCTTACCAACAAATATCACATTTTCATTTTAAAATCACCTGCATAGCTTAAATTCTAAGCTTTAAAATAAAACAGTTAACGAGTGTAATAATATGTAAAAGTAAAATGTACCTATTTAAAATATATAATGATATTCTTATACACTACGTAGTTATTTAATATTACATTTGGTATTAATTATGATATTATGTAAAATATTTCAAATGATATGCACATTACGACACAACTATAAAACGATAATCTTGTAATGTGTAGTTTATTATACGTAACTCTAAAATAAAAAATAATCTACATCAAGTAAATTGTTTTTTTTGTTAAAAATTACTGATAGTTAGTTAATAACTTGTTATTACATCTTAATCATAAACTGTAACATCCAGTAACTTAAAAAGTAAAATGTAAACAGTATATTACACTATGGTAATTTAACCCGTTGTTATTTATTGATACGTTCTCGTATATTGGACACAGCGTTAAAACCCATGATTAATAAACGATAAGTATTATTTAAATAATAGGTTCAGTCAGGTCAAGTTGGATAATTTTCATGTTCTTACATGTAAAAAAATAACCGTACACATTGCAATATTCATTAGTTAATGATATCCCGATATTAATAAATATTTAATAATTGTAAATACTCGATTATATGTAAGCAGTTATTTTTCAAAGATTAATTTCTACGGAAAACATAACATTACTATTTTTAAACTATTAATATTTAAATGATAATAGGTACGAGTATGGTCGTATGTTAATTATGATTGTAGTAGAATATAACGATATTTTTAATTTAATGCCTACTGTGAACGTGTACTGCACTAGCTATCTTAGTGCAGTAGTCAAGTTAATTCGGGTGGTTATTATTTAAATAAATAACTAAAAAAATAAAACAAATTATAGGTTTACATTCCACTATTTAAATGATGAAATACAAAACCCCGGGACAATGGGATAAGTGTCACTCATTTTGGATGGACCCTACAAGTTTATTTAAATCTGTAGCACTTTTACTACCGAAAAAATGATCTGATATACTAAATACGCATATTGTCACAATGCAAAATAGTATACCTAGGTAATATGTCTATAGTGAAACATCACCGCGCAATATAATTTTTCCAATCAATGATTTTAGATTTACCATTTCTATAAAACTCGGAATAAATAATATAATACTGCAAGTTTATTTCAAGGTCTAAGATACGAGACATGTATGCAAAAACCAGTTTTTTTAGTGTTTTTCAAACCAATGTGATTCATCTATGCATGTTATTTTATTAATAATTATTCAAAAGCAATCATTTTTTACGAAATATGAAATTCTTCAAGTATGAATTTTTCATCATTAACAATACCCAAGAGCAGTACTTTCACATCATAGTATATAAATACCTACTATCTTTGTAATTTCATCTTTATGTTATCAATTATTAAAAAAGATTAGAAACTTCATTATTCTATTTTAGTTTTATGATGAGAAATTTGTATTTAGTTTAATCCTACACTACTTTATTATTTACTTTTGTTCAATTTTCAGGTAATATATGTAAAAGTTTCAAACAAACTAAAAGAAAATATCAAGTTTTTAAAATATTACATTAAACTCGCTATGTATTGGTCATTTCGAAAACGATTTCATACGATTATAATGTTGTTGGCACTGTAACAAAGATATTTCTTTTAGAAAACTTTTTTTGTTAAACAATAATGAATGTAAAAAAAAACCTAAACGAAAAAAAAAAGTATTTATTTTAAAAGAAAATTAAAATTAGTTGAAAATTTCAAAATTTTACGATTGTGTTTTTTGTATTACATATTAACGTATTAACTTGCCATTAAATATATATATTACCTTATCTTATTAGTGTATAATTTCTATATTAATCAATATTCTTTTATTATGTATTATTGACTTGCACATTCGAAGTAACATTTTTCACACATATATTATTCATAATTTCCATGGCCAACAAAATATTTGTATAGGTTTTGTATGTTATGTTATGTACACTATAATATAGTCGGAAGCATTTATATTATAAAAAACGATCTTAAGGCATAGCCTCGACTAGTTTAAGAGAGCCTTCCCCACATTTGTAAATCCTTGCCATAGGCCACTAATTCCGATATCTTATGCATGGTTTAATGAGTTTAAATAATTTCAGATTCAAAACGAAATCAATGGAAATGGACGTTATAGCGGCGTAATGATGTGGCCAGGATCCAACTTTCCGTATCAAGGCAAAAATTCTACATATGTGCAAGAATACAACAAGTAATAAAACATTATAATTGTAGTTATAAACAATGATTTAAGCTATTTTACAGTGTTTTTCTGGACTTTTTAACTTTTCAAAATTAATGAGACGACGTAGTATATGGAATATTTTTAAAATATAAATCCAACAAATTTAAAGTACAATGTTTTTTTTTTTTTTATTATCTAAATATTTTTTGTAAAAATTAATAAGTAAATTCAATATTACATTTCTTTAATATTCTTTAAAAAATAGTATTTATTGTAAAATAATATTGCTCTTCTTTAGCTTTTTTAAAATTCGTGTCATATGTTTGACCAGAATAATAATTTATTTATTTTTATCTAGTTCAATGCCTTGGAGTGAGCGTATAGATTTAATTATGTCATGGATTAAAGATGAAAATAAACCAGCCAATCTAATATATGCTTATTTTGATGAACCGGACAAAATTGGTCATTTAAAAGGAATATATTCAAAAGAAATTCAAGATAGGATTGTGGAAGTAGATGTAGCACTAAGGTATTTATAATTTATTAATCGATTTAAAAATAAGTTTGTTTTTTGAGATATTAACTTGTCATTATTCTGTAAATAGTTTATAAAAATATATTTTACATCTTTAAAGATTATTAAAATAGTATTTATTTATTTATTATTATCAGTACATGTCATATTTTATTAAGCTTACAACAATTTGTCTTGCATTTTTGAACACTGTTAATACTTTTAAAATTATGATTCTAGGTATCTACTAGAACAAATTAAATCTGAAAATCTAGAAAACAAATTAAATCTCATTATTCTCAGTGATCATGGGATGAATACAGTTACATATGATCAAATGATACATTTAAATAATTATCTGGACAATACGACTTATAAAAGCATTCTTTCAGGTCCTAATGCGTTTATACATCCAAATCCAAGTAAGTAAATACTACGACCGTTATAAGAAGTCTGCATATCTGCATAAGTGATTTTAAACACTTGTATTATTATTTTCAGGTAAATTTGATGAAGTTTACGAAAAACTTTCAAAAATAAGCAATACTTCTAGAACATTTGATGTATTTAAAAAAAATCAATTATATAATCGTTGGCATATGAAAAATAATACTAGATTAAACGATATCATTTACTTGTTGGCTAAACCTAAATATGCCTTTTGGGATGAATATTATAAAGACATTTTGAACGGAACAAGTAAATACCTACAGCTATATTAAATTACGTCTACGCTATGATAAACGATCAATACCCTTTTTTATAGAGGATTATCGTGATCTTAAATCTCAAGAGACAATTTTAGTATTAAACCCTCTTTTTAATCTACTATAATACTAATAGTAAAATTAATTACTTTTTCCTAATAGCAATATTAAAGAACACTATTTGATGTACACTAATAGACCGACTACACTCAGTATTCGCTTAGTTTTCGTATAAAAATATATATCGTTGAATTCGAATTTAACACATCCATCACAATGGCTTACTTGACATTTGCATACAGCATAGTGGTACCTATTTACCCACATTTTTTATAGATAAATCCAAAATGTCATCTGTTTAATAAATTTATATAGCAATATACCTACATATTTATACTACACTTTATTGCATTTGGTAATATTGTATACTCCGATAGTTTAAGGGACATTTTCAAGTTAAATTTATACCAATCAATCACTATCAATTTTTTTTTTTTACCAATCTCTATGCGTCCTATGATTTTCAAAAAAAATCGTATCATATAACTTGTTCATTTTTTCGAAATATTAACGCGTTGTTCCTTAACTTGAACATTTAAGCATCGACTGTGTGTCCGTGTTTCAGCCAAAGAGAAGTTCATCGTAGGGGTGCACGGGTACGACAACAATGATCCGCAGATGCAAGCTATTTTCATGGCCTCCGGACCGGCGTTCAAGAAGAACTTCAGCGCCCTACCGTTCGACAACGTCAACCTTTACTCATTGATCTGCCGGATCGCGAATCTTAATGAGCCGAAACGACGTCCTGACGGAACTATAAAAGACGTGGAACAATTACTGTCCAACAAGTCCAGTAGCACCGCCATCACCGCGTCCATGACTTCCGTCATAGGTTTATTGTCAGCTATCTTACTACCAGCGATTGTACAAAATATGTGAACAAGAAACCATTCCCGCTAGACTAGTCGGACTCAAAATTGTGTTATACCGTTTCGACATCCCAATTTTCGAGTGAAGAAAAAGTTGTCCCGTCTTGTCCGAGACATTTTTTGAGTCATATAAATAATACAAATACAATGATTCTATCGTTTGACTTTTTTTGCTTTTCAATAATAAATTATTTTATTATCAAACCACTATTCGTTCGTTGAATGGTTGGACATAAACACATTATAATATGGTATACGATTTACATACAATATACGTATAGGTATTACAAAAATAAAAACTTGTATAAATGCATGAGCAATGCACATGTCCTATCATAATCACGTAACAGATATGATTTTGATTATTTTAACAATATCGTATTACCTTAAGGGTGTAAAAAAAATTTTTACTCTATGTTATTAAGTTCGTACGTGTTGTAAATGTGTGCCTTATATCAAGTTTGTATAGTACTCGTTTAGATAGTACTTATAGTAAAGTAGGTACAAAAAATTGTATGTAAGAATGTTAGATACTTGGATATGTTATTTTTCTAACCAGAAATTTTTTTTTTACATATCTTTATGAAATATTAGTTATAAATTTATAATATTTGTATATCAAAATTAGGAGATATGTTTAGAAAATCATATTTTTATTTTTAAGTAAAATTTTCTAAATTATATTAATTATTTTTCATAAATTTATTTTTTATATTTAACGGAACTATGTTCGACCAAAAATAATGCATTTAATTTACTATGAAAATTAATTTTTATTGTATTGATTTATTTAATTACATATTTGTATTAGTTATATTTTATAAAAATAACATATAACTATGAGTAAATAATATTTGAATCGGGACATTGATAATTGAACGAATTTTGTTCTAGTTTTAAATACCCAACTTTAAAATTACTTTTAAATGTTTATCTTGAAAATAATTTCTATATTTTCGAAAAATAGAATTAACATATTTTTATTTTTGGTTTCTTATTAATCATTTTTTAATATATTTTATATTAAGACTCTGTGTAAAAATAACATGTTCTATTAACTTTAAAATACTATATTTTTTTTTTTTTTTATCTCTTCAAATATCTGATAATTGTTAATAAGTTTAAATGATTTAATATTTAAGTTAAATTACTTGAAAATTATACATTAATTCAAAATGCTACATTTTAATCAAATTTTTATATGGAATACAAATACTAACATTCAAATTAAAAAAACAATTATATTATATATGATTTTATTAATACACCGAAAGATTTACAACTTGAAAATCACTGTTCTCGTGAAATTGTATTCTAGTGGAAGCCATGAAAATTATTAAAACGAGTTAAGTAAAAAAAACGTTTTGCATATTAAAATTATGATTTATGTTTTTTATGTAATTATATTGTAAACATTAATAACATACATATGTAAATGCTAAAATACGACTTAAGTAAATATAATTTATTTTAACTTCAGTCAACTTAAAATGTAATTTGAATATTAATGACTGTGAACATATGTTTATTTGATAGGTTCAACATTTTACAAATGTAAAATAAATCCATCAAACGAAATCGGCGTTATATATAATTATTTTAAAGTAGGAGAGAATTAATAAAAAATCTGAACAATTTACAGCTCTCTAATTCACCACAAAACAGAATACTGGTGTGTTATCGTGAGAAATTTGAAATCAGTAATAAATTTAATAGCTTAAAAATTAACTTTAAATAGAATTTTGATATTAGAACTGGCTAAAATTTCTTTAAAGTTTTAATTTTTTTTTAATATATCTTAAGTTTGTGAAATTTATTATTCACTGTTGAAGAAATTTAAAAATCGCTTCTTTTAAATATTTATTATTTAAATGTCAATGACCAACTTTGAATATTCAAATGAAACTTATTCAGAACTTTTTTTACTATAATTTTTTCACAAATAAATAATTAGTATAAAATTATACTAGTAAATACAAAATCAAATATCACGAACTATCAGATTTGATAAAATACATTTTACAAGCAAAATTACAGTAATTATTATGTTTATTATTTTATATAAAACCATATTATCTATAAAATTAAAAATTAAAAACACAAAAAATAAAATAATATTAATACATTTATCAGTAAATGTAAAATGTATTCATGTTTATCTACTATCTACTAAGTATAGATATGTACTCAATAAAATATTTTACAGATTACTTTAAAACGAATGTGTAAATATCAGCATACTTAGTTCCTGGTTTTAAGAGTTTTTTGATTATTAATTTATATATATATATATATATATATATATGCGGAGAGTATAAAACTCCATTTAGAACATAGGTATAACTATTTAAAATAGCACTGTGTGATATAATAAAATATATAATTTATAATAAAAAATATACAAAACAAAATAAAATATAAAATTATTAATATATATTATTTTAGGTTACACGCAGTTTTAATATCATCAAAGTTACAATTATATATATATATATATATTAAGATATTAATATATTTTCTGAAATACATTTAACTAGATTGGTATGTGTTTTATTATTAGATAAAAGTTTCTTAGGAAATATATTTGCAATGCTAAAGTTTGCCAAGTTAATTGACTATTTTTAAGCGTCATAATGTAACATTCAAAGCATATCACACGATTGTTAATCTTAAATTAAAAGTGTAGAATAATATAAATTTGTATATTTTTCAAAATTCTAACTTTTTTTTTCAAAATGTTGTAAATAATATACTTTTGGCCTATACCTGCGAACGATGTCGAATCGGTGTAATTATTTTGATATTTTATTAGCAAAAAAAACACGTCTAAGCAAATTTGTTTGATTTTAAACGTATGGACAGGTCGAATCTAATATATATATATAATTATGTTACATTTTAATTGTGTGAATAATAATTATTGATTTGTAAAAATTCTCTCATTAGTATTTTATCTTCTTCTTCCCAAGCCCGCCGAAACGCCATTTGAATTTATACCGATGGCTGTTCTAATAATGACTTACAATTTTTAGTTTTATAAATTTGTTCTCATATATTTGACAATTATTATAAATTAAATTAATTTTTACTATACGTATACGCTAGGTTATAGTTGCTTATAGTTTACGCTGACATTGAAATAATCCTCAATTTACTTATTTTAAGTTTTTAAAATTTTTAAATTTACATTAAGCATAAATATTAATGACATTACTGACATTACACTATAGAATTGACTATTAACAATATTACAATATTATAAATGCAATAAATTATTAAAATAAACACTAGTTTGTTGCTTAGAAAAAATATTAAATAATTTATATAGTGTATATTATTTTTAAGTCACAACAAGACTTTAATAAATAAATTATTGAATATATATTTGTGTATTTGTATTAATTGTTTTATATTTATGTATAAATATTAAAAATAAACATAATATTATATAACTATTGAACTATTTTATGGACTCGTATACTCTACAGTCTACAAATATATATTTAATATTATATATAATTTATATGTATAGTAATAAAGATAATACAGGAATACACAATATATTAAACATATATGTGATTGGTAAATATAGGTGTAGTAAGTATTTACTTATTAATATTATATTTAAAACGTAATTATATGATATTTTTTTAATAGATTTTGAATGGAATCCACAAACGTGATAGACTTAATTATCTAATTAATTTACAATGATTTCCTGAGATATATTATGTAAACAAGAAAGTGAATTTAAGTGAAATAGGGTTATATAACATTTATAAAGTATCATTCCACTCATCTAAACTTCAAATGTTAAAAATAAAAAAATAAAAGTTATTCGTGCAGTATAAATAGATTCAATATCTATATATAAATATCTTTAAAAAAGTATTTTCTTTCAGATTATAGAATTAAAAATATAGATTATCATTATAAAATTAAAATTTAATATATAGCCATAAAATTCCTAATAGTATATATTTTATCAAAAATTAAAAACTTTATTTTTCGCATTTAAAATTTGTGAAATTTCCCGTTTAAATGTTACGTACCTACTGCTCGATTATTATACCACTCGCACCTACTAAAAGTGTACGAATATGTGACCTTGAGAATTTAAGTTAAACCTTCCTAAAACAGTAATCTGCTTGACATATAATATACGGCAAACTGGTACCCACTTGCTCACGTTTTTTAATCGGTATATGACCAACTTATGAAGAACTTTCCATTCAATTCATAAATTTAGATTTAGTATTATTTAGAAAAAAATTACTTGCTATACTATACTTAAGTTCTATTATTATAAACATTTTTTTTTTTCTAGTATTTCGTTATGTGTTAAAGGTTATTTATTATTTTTATAAATTAAAGTGCTGCAATGCCAAATGATGTCTGCAATAATATGATACGGTACGCCGATATTCGGCGACCTACTTTTATAAATAAATTATAATGCCAATTTATGATATCAGGTAGGACGTTTAATATTTTAATATCATAAATCGATTAACATAATTTAACAATGTGTGGAGGGTAAGTTTAATCCGGACCGCGCAAGACGCAACTGGCTTAAATAAGCCGAACCGCGACGGACGGTGTCAAACCTGTAGAGCGACGACTTTGATACAATATGTGGGACACTTACTATAGAACTATATATAACATGGATGAGTCCGCAATACCTTTCCGAAGTCTTATGTAAGTCGTGGTCAAGTCGAGCGGTTCGGAGCGATCGCTTGAACAGGCGCGCCGGGTGGATACGAGACTTTGTTCATATAGTCCTAAGAAGGACTTTTTTATAGTCAATCGCGATGGTAGATCGATTGTCGATCAGACGAGAGACACTGCGTGACCGGTGACAACCGCGTGTAAAGCCGCTGGCAGTCGGCCGCCCGTTGTTGCCAGAGGTGCGTCAGCAGTAGTTGATGAATTTTATCAACTAAACGGCGTCCTTCTTGTCGCTTCGTTCTGGCCGTTACTTCGCCGGTTTCGATGGTTGTTCCTTCCGTACGCTTACCGCTGGAATCGTTTTTCAAAGTGTTGGCTTTGGAAACTCGCTGCCTCGTATTCACAAGTGTCATTGCAGCGTATGTACCATTGAGTATCTTCGTTTCCGGTCGTTGAAAGTTGAGATTATGTTTCACTTTTCAAGTCGGAGAGTGGATATTCTCTTATACCAATTTTTCATCGCCAGCTACCTACAAAACTATAGTAATTAATGCCTCAATCATTTCAATTTATAAGTTATGAATTACCTGTACCTAACGGCGGCGGACGAAGGACGAGGGATGAGGACGAAGCATCGGAATGCATTGGCGTCACCGGCGTTTGGGCCTGTTGACGTTGACCCGATTGCCGTTGATCAGCGCGATCGGTGTTCCGGCGGCAAGTGCGGCATCAACGCCCTCGGGCCCACCGAATGACACAAAGCCGTAGTTTAACTCCGGGTCCGGTCGAAGCCGCTTTTGATGCGGACACTCAACACCGTCCCAAATCGAGCAAACGTCTGGGACAAGTCCTCAGCCGTCGCGGACGCCGCAGGCCCGGATTGAGCCGGCGGGCTACCGGGCAAAACCCGGTGGGCCGTTAGAAATTCGAAAGATTTGGGCCGGTTTGATGATATATTGAGTCAGTGGAAATATCTTATCCATAGTTTATTTTACATCAAAAGACAAAAATGTGATGCTAAAATGTAAGTATGTAATCTATGACAAAAATCGTTATTTTGATATAATGACAGCCACATATAGTAGTGCTTGTATTTACATTGAGGGTCTATAAATTAAATATTTTTATGTACTAATAAAGTTTGATAGGTCAAGAAAAAAATTGTTTAGGAACTCGGGCCGGTCTAGGCGGACAGCCCGGTAAGTAATTTCCTCCCAATCCGGCGCTGGTGGACGGTAACGTGTGTGCCCGACGAAAAGCCGATGGCCGTCGAACGGCTTTTCGGGCGGTCGGTTGACGGTGGTCGGAGGTCAGTCCGCGGCTGCGGGCGGTCGGTTGACGGTGGTCGGAGGTCGGCGGCGACGCGGCCGGTCGTGGCGCCGGGGCAGTCCGCGGATGGCGGCCGTCGCGCGACACGCGCGTGCTGCACGGTGGACGCCCCGCGCGCATCTACACGTGCCGTTCGGTGGTCGCCGTCACCGAAAACTGGCCGGGCGCACACCGAACGGCATGAATTTATTGGACGACCACGGGTTGACCGTCGCCGTGGCCGTCCCCGACGTTAGGTTTGAATAGCTCGCGTAACCGTGGCCGGCCTGCGACCACGGTTCGCGAACCGTACCCGTTCGCCGGCGAGTGTTGAGCGTCCTCCGAGTAGTTGGTTCCCAAACGTCTTCCGGGCCGTTATAGAATGTCGTATAGTAGCGTCCGACCACTCCGTGGCCGACGACAATGGCGTCGTGCTCGTCGCTATATAACTCGCCACTGTCGCCGCTACCGTCCACCTCTTCCGCTTGACACGGTTTATCTATTCCTGGATGTGTGAGTCACGCATTCTTATTAATAAAAATGAAAAAAAAAACCTAACCAGTCGTAAAAAACATAATTCTTCTAGTGTAATTTTTTAAAGTATACCTATTCAACTAATTTTAAGTGCGTATGCCCATAAATTTATTTACCGATAATAATACACTTGCACTGCTAATGGCCATAGTTGCCAAAGCGTTATTAAAAAAAAATTGCAATACAATGTTAAAGATGTAATAGTGATCAAGATTTTTAGACCCGATTCTTAACCCATTATCATTCACCGTGGAAGAAATAAAAAAATTTTATTTTATCTCAGAATAAGTATATCGTTATATTTAGAGAGGCATAAGCCCTATTGGTTTTCAACAACAAAATAACGTTATATGCAAAAACGTTTACTTAAAATAATAATTATAAATTACAATATAATAACTACAGTTAAAAAATTAATGTAAAACGCATACTCGACATGCCTAGTAACAGCTAAAGCTATTTTTGATGTTATTCATTAAATGAATTCTGGCTTTTTAAATATAGCCATATTTTCAAATTTATGATACATTAATTATTGTTTTATAAAGCTTTTAAATTCAATTACAATACAGCACAATAGTATTTAATGTCCCTCCTAATGGTTACACTGTAAATATATTTATCGGTCGGTTCGATAGTTTTTCAGTTTACCGAGAATTAAAAAAATAAACGCTGTCTCTCTTCATGATATATTAGTCTATAGTTATATAAATTCTATGAACGTGGAATTGAACGTCTTCTAGGTCATAGGAATATATTTAAATACAGATAATGTACATTCTATGTAATATTCAATCATTAGAATTACATTAAACACAATATTATGGCCTTGTTATTCGTGTATGCACAACTGATGCGTTGTGTATTCAGAACACAATTATATGGTCGGTACCATTTGAGTACCTACTTCCTCAAAATATGACAACTTAACCTGAATTGTACTGCATTAAAATCATTTTGATGAAAAATACTTTTTTTCTATCGGAATTTTCCATATTTTGTGTTGCAAATAAGAAGAAAGAATATATAGGCGACAGAAGGATTATATGTCAGTGGCTTTTGTTGGTATAAAGTAGTTGCAAGGGTAAAATATCCATTGTTTCTCTATTAAACCAGCTTAGTGGCACACAATAATTATATTAACTTAAAAAAATATAATATGTCATAATGTTACAGGTAAACAAAAGATTCTAGAGAAACGACAAAAAGGTTGAGCACCTTATTTATTACAATGTACATTTTTTTGTATTTGGTTTAAAAACTGCTTGCACGTGTACCTAACAACAGTAACAACCTAACTTGTTACGAGGACGTGACATTTACAGATATACGTAATATTATTAACAACGTTAGATAGATACTTCTCGGGAAGAGGAGAAACAACTTTTTTATATTTTGTTATTTTTTTTTCATAAAATTCATAACCGAGTATGTGTATTGTGTATTATACTTACGTTATTATTGAGTTCATATAAATTATTATCATGAAAATTAGGTAACAGTTATAATCTCAAATAACATAGGTTTGCTGTTTATATTATTATAAAACATTATAATATACAATATTTTTCAATACACAAAATATATTATGTTAAAAAATAAACATATCTTAACTGTATCCTAGAGAAAAATAGACCACCACTTAAATTATGAATTTATAATAATTATAGAAACATTTTATAAATATATCAATTTAATATGGTATAAATTTTAATACAGTATATTATTATAACCTAACCTATATAATTGATAACTTTTGATCAGAGAGATTAGATTTCGTAACTTACGCCTATGTTGCATTGGGTATAATGTAAATATATAAATATAATTATTACATAATTATGAAACTAAAACTATAATGAAATAAATCTATGTTTATCAATGTTTGCGTATCGCGATGTAAAATAATGTATAATTTATATTCACGATTTTAATTTTAAGTTGCATTGTTGTACTTTGGATTGTAAACAAATGCAATGGTTTCAAACGCTAATTATTGAAATTAAGAAATATTAAACAATATGCATGTAAATGTAGGTACTCAATTACTGTATTTACGTAAAAGCCACGATGAACATGCCAGTTATTAACTATTCAGAATTAAAATTCATATAGAAGTGTAAGACAGTAATGTATTATATTATTTAATTTAGTAAATGTCTTAAAATATGCATAAATCTTTGTTCAAACACAATATGGTTATTACGACTAGTAAAACGAAACCTAACAAGGTCGTTTTTGAGAAAAGAAGATTTTTGTCTCTTGAGATACCATAATCCTGATTCAGTGCTTCCTTAATAAATACTAAATTGGCTGTTCAACATGCCACATTTGTGGGATTGATTTACACTCATTCGAAAAAATCTGTCTCGAAAAGTGTGAAAACCTTCGTCCAGTGGAAAACCTTGACGTGTATTTACTATTATTTCTTATTATTTTTTTTTTATATTATGTTACGGTTTTACGGGTAACGATAGAATTTGAATGATGTTGAGTATCTGATAATGTCAGCTTTACACTCACGCCCTTAAACCAATGTATTTTTTATTATGTCGTTAATGTTATATGAATGGCAGTCGTTTACAATTTTAAAAACGCACGATTTCCACTCGCTCCAGCTCTAATTTATTAGCTTCAGCTAATAATATACTAAGACTTAATGTGTATCGTTATGAACGTCTCAATCATAGTCAATCATTCGATAAAATGTACAAAGGTTTTTTTAGCATTTTATAAGGTAATTAGGAATAACAGAAATATTTTTACGACTTTTATTCGATCGGAATTGCAATAGGTACAACCAAAGTGCAAAACACACGCTAGATTGCTGTATTTCGGTTTATCGTATATTTCCAGCAAATCTAGTAATTCAATAACACGTTATATCGGTACTCTTGTATTTTAATAAAATTAGACTTTTTTTTGAAATAGTTCACATCATGTTTGTGTATCGCGGCCGTGTAAAATAATGTATAATTTATAATCACGATTTTAATTTTAAGTTATATTGTTGTACTTTCGATTGTAAGCAAATGCGATAGTTTCAAACGTTAATACCTATAGTAAAGGTATTGAGCGTTGTGGAATATGGGCGGGGTGCTAATAAGTGGAATAAAAACATAACATTTTAACGACATTGTCCGTGAGGCGCGTGCCACACGAGCGATGCTATTTCCGTTTAACGTCGTCGGACGTTCAATAAACGCAAATTATCGCAGTGTTCGACGATGTTCGAGACGTTTAATGTTTTTTTTTTTTTTTTAAACTCTGGCCAATAACGCGTTCAGAGACCGTAACCTCGGAAATTTTATCCGCGACACATATTTTTGTATGACGTTATCGCCTCAGCGGTCGTCTTTTCGCACGAAGAGTCGTCGGTTGCAGTGCGCTTCGCAGGGGCACGGAAAATTGATGTGACAATAATACGTATACAAAACAGTATAATTTGTTCGAGTCGCGCGACACGGCCGAGCGCACTTCGTCGTCGTCGTCACCGTTCCCACTCCGACCGAAAAACGAGTCTTGTCTCTCGCACGGCCGCGCCGCAATAAGAGTTTGAAGTGGAGTGTTTCGCTGCAGTTACGCGTACGTCATTGATAATAATATTGTACACCGTCCGTTCTCGTTCGGCCGTACGCACTGCGCGCAAAAACCCACACGTTTTCGCATCCGGAAATCAGGCGAATCTCTCTCGTACTTGGACGTTTTGATATTAAATCGCTTCACGTCATCGCGACACATCCCGTCCAAAAGCTCGTGACCCGACGAATAGTACGCCGTCACAATCATTATTATCGTATCATATACTGTCGTGTTGAAATCTGTTTCAGTGCAGTGCAATCCGTCCGATCAGCGAATAGTGTATCGCGATTGCAGTTTTTACCTCCCACTAACTATATATATATATATATATATGCGTGTGTGTGTTTGTGTGTGTTATTTGGTCACACGTCAGTAAAATACGTGGCGGTCGAATAGCGACCGGACACACCTGCACCCGCACTGCAAACACATCCGATCGTGACGACATGGGCATCGCGACAGCAGCGACCGTCGTTCGGTCCTGGCGACGCCGTTGACACATCGCCCGTGTCACGTCCGCGGGTTGCTACGCATTCACACCGGAAATACGCGCCGACCTGCACTGCACACGTAGATCGCGGATCAAAACCCCGCAAGTGGAGGATTTTTCTCCGTTTCCCGCTCGGTGCATCAAAGTCCACCTACGGGCATGTGCATACCGACCGCCGCCGTGCAGTGCTACTCGGTCGCCGCGATCTTCGCGGTGACCGGAGTGGCGGCCGTCAGCCGACATCCGGTGACCGTAGTCGTGTCGTTCGACGGTTTCCGGCCCGATTACATCCAACCGGACGCGACGCCGACAATGGCTCGGTTCCGGGACGCTTCCGCCGCGCCGCCGTACATGCGCAGCGCGTTCCCCACGAAGACGTTCGTCAACCATTTCACCATGGCCACCGGAATGCACCCCGAGACGCACGGCGTGCTCGACAATTACATGTTCGACCGGCACAACAAGACAATGCACTACACGTACGAGCAGTTCCACTACGACGATTCGCTGGTGCCTATCTGGGTAAGGTCTAACCGCCCACGCTACATAATTACCTATATAACAATCACTACCTAGGGTTTTCCACCCCTTCGATCGCAAACTCCCCTGAAGGATTTACGCCTCTTCGCATCTGAGAATGTGATGATATTTTTGATTTTAAATATTTAAAAATATAAATACACATTTCTTCGTGATGGTAATTATCTTCAAGATTTTTATCTTTTTTTTTCTCCGACATTGCTTTACATAGAACTTTTAGACGCTCTGTTATTTAGTCGCTTTTGTTTTCTTCGTCTGATAACTTGTTTATTATACCCTCTTTTCTACTCATATTGTTCATATTCTGTTTAATATACCTAAATTATAATAACAATGGAAATTAAATGTTTTAGATAAAATTAACTTCATATTTATTACACAAAATGTACAGATTCATTGAAATTGCATCATCACGATTCTTAAAAAACACATACATTTTTTAAATAATTATATAATATTTACGATTTCTTGTCCCCGATACTTAATGTGCTTAGCCCATATTCTTTAACTGATCTGATCATACTGTGATTATTAGATTCATTAAAAGGTTATTGAATAGCAATGTCAGATCATCTTCAATTGTTTATTTAATTTGTTATAAAGACCTGATGTTCAATCCAATCCACTCCTCTTTTTAACGTTATTCATGCTACCATTAATTACTTGGTAAACGAGCCTATAATTAATATCAACGGACCATAATTTCACATTTTATTGATATCTAATTTGTGTGTACTTTCCTTTCTTATTTCTGAATTATTGTTGCTATTTCAAACTTAATAATATAATAATAAACAGTAAATTCGTATTATATCTATGTAAAAAAGGATTCAGCCCGTAAACATCAACAAAAGTCTTTTTTATTTATAATAGAAAGATACATTTTTTTACGGCATAGGTAATAGTTGTATGATCCTATCATCGCAAAATCAGTCGTGGTACTATATTTTTTATATTAAGTAAATACAAGCTTTTCCTTTTCTTAAATAAAAATAGATAAAAATTGTTATTAATTAATTGTTATTAATTAATTTATTTATTTATTTATTGTTATAGATAAAAATTGTTTTTCTTTAGGCCTAAATATCAATAAAATTCAATTTTCCATCAAAGATTACCTTAAAAGTTAAAAACTGAAGAATTTATACAGTTTCAAAAGATAAAAAAAAATACAATAATAAAACACACACAAACGTCATTTTAAAACCGATTATATATTATATATTATACGTTTATTATTACATTAGGAATTTAAAACATATACGTTGTTCTATAACATGGGTTCCCAACCTATGGTCCACGAGTCACTGGTAGTCAGCGAGACATTATGAGGGAGTCCGCGAGCCATACTTACAAAATTTAAAAATATTTTAAATATTTAATTTTATTTTGCATTAAATTCTTAATTATTTTAAAATTAAATAAAAAAATATCAATTATAAACATTGTTAAAAGTCTGTTACAAGAATTTTCATTGTTTTTTATTTATTCATAATTTAAACTCTAAAATGTGAGAAAAAAAATTGATTCTTATTTATAAGAAAAATATAAGATATCAATTTTAGGTGGTTCGTATGACATATCGAAAGTTCTCCAAGTGATCCGTTGTATTAAAAAGGTTGAAAACCACTGTTCTATAATGACTATATTTTACTAATTTATTATAGACCTTGAAATCCATTATACTTTGTTTTACCCATATTTTAGTATATATTAAAAAACTATCATTTCCAATGAAAAATCTAGATATAAATTAAAATCAGAAAATATTTCAATGTATGTAAAACAAATATTATAATATAATTTGAAATTCTAAAATAATAATTATATAATATAGTGTATATACATTTGCATAAATTTGCATAAATCTATTATTTTTGAGTACTTACTTACTGGTATGTATTTCATTATTAATAATTATATTTTGTATAAAAACTATTCTTGTTAAAGAGGATCTCAACATATTATAATTATTGTAAAAAGTAATAAACAAAAAGTTTTAAAGAAAAAAAATTGAATACCTATATAAATTAAAAAATTACATACTATACAATTTTAATTCAATTTTTAAACTTTAAAAGGAGACCTGAAAATGATCTAATATTATTAAAGTGAATGAATTAATATGAATCTATGTGATATGAATATTTTTATTTTCATAATTGATGTAAATAACTAATTAACAATTAATAACTTATCTATACCTAGGTTTTCTAATTTTTGCTTTGACAAGTAATTAAAATCAAATTATACCTAAGCTACTATTCATTAATATACAATAGGTTTTTATTTTTGAGTTATAGGAAAAATATTGCATAATCAATTCTTGAACGATAATTTGTATTATTATTGTTATAGTTGTTGCAGCTTTGGTTTTTTAAAATTATTTTTAAATGGAAAAAAAAATTGTTACATTTGCATAGAAGATTAAGATTATTGTAAGCTTAACGATAGAAATAATTTTATAGTTTGTTTTCATATTGTATTTTTTTAAACAACCAAACAACCCACAACAAAAGTAATTAAGTATATATATATATATTTGTGAAGTCGGGAAAGGAGTGCCCTGACCTCGAAAACGTCTGACTCGATTTGGTCCGTAAGTAGATGGTAAGGGAACTTATTTTATATCAAGAACTACCACACAATTTACTCTAACCAAGATTTGCGAAATAGTTCTAAATACCTACACTAATATATGATTTTATCCACACAGTATAGTAATGTTTTTTTACATATTTACGTTGAACTTTATACAAATTAATATTTATTAAATTAGAATACACGTCTACAACACTGATATATTTTTATTGATAATTTAAATTATCTAATTAATTAATTAATCTTAAACATTGACCCAATGTCACAAACTAAAAACCTGTTGAAACAATCAGCTACCCTGATTAAATATATTAATATACTATATAAATTATGCATTTTATAATTATGTATATTTTTTTGTTTGTAATATATTCAATTTATATAAATATTATTATAGAGTAATATCCTTAGTAGGTACATAAAGTTTAATAACTTAGAAACTACCTACTGGTTAAAAATTCGATTTAGATGTATCGACATTTTCAACAAAATCCCCTGCTTAAAAAGTTAATAACTTAAAGTAAAGTAGGATGGTTTTAATTGAAAAAATAAGTTTGTCTCCTCACAAGATATTTAAAATTATGATACGTAAAAATGTAAGTTTGTATTTAAAACTTTTAATTATACATAGTATCTACTCGTATAATCTATATAATATAACTTTATATAGAAAGGTATTATGGGATTTGGAAAGTAAATTATCCCACTGCTATTACATTAATATTTTATTCAACTCTGCTAAAATTTAGTTAGTCCTAAATTGGCACTCTTTTAGAAAAAAATCACGCTGCCCCTACTGAAAATAGTAGACTTTATTGTGTTCATTATTTTAAATAATTTTTAACGGTCGCTATATAGGTACAATATATTATTTACAGCTAAAATTAAAATTCTTACAACCATCATTCAATAATATTATGAACTTAAATATAAATGATCAATAAAATATATAATATTTATTACATTTTAACAGGGATTGAACATTTTATATATCCGTAATATGTGTATTATAAAATTAAAATTATAAGTACAACTATTAATAATAATTGTACTTGATAATTATTCAACCAAATCTATATTATAGTTGCTGTTAACCGATGATATTATTTTCCTTTATAATAGACATTATAAATTGAACTTTTATGGTTTTATGAGAAAAATTAATTGATTATCAGTCTATAGAAATTATTATCTAATTCTAATTAAGTGTAAATAGTTTAAACGGTTTGTTGACCAATTAATTTTAGTAAAAATCAAAAAATCCATTATCTAGATTAAGTTTACACGTAAGAAGAATAGTTAAATTATCATTGCGAGTATAAATACACTAATATTTAAGTTCAAAAAATAAAAAAAAAAAAATTATTGTCTAGATAGATTATTCGATTTTTAACGTTAAGCTATTGTTCAAAACATAATCATTATTTTAATTTTTATATATACCTATAGTTTTATTTTTCATTTCATGTCTGATGAGATAACTTGATTACAGATGCAAAACGAATATAATGGCGAAGGACGGCATAGCGGTGTTATGATGTGGCCCGGATCCGAATTTCCATATCAAAGCAAAAATCCAACTTACACTGAAGTATACAACAAGTAATAATACAATTAAGTCCTGACAGCAGAATCAATAAAGTTTTACCACAACTTTTTTTTTTGTAATCTTATATTGAAAGCGTATAGATATTTTGCATTACATAAATTAAAAAAAAAAAACTATTCAATTTATAGTAAATATTCATAAAAATGAACGAACAAATTTCAATTATATTTCATATTTTTTTTTTTTATTTATTCAAAAAATAATAAAATATATTATCTACTTTTCAGTTTAATAAAAAAAAAAAAATGTTTAGTAACAATGCTCAAATTTAATGTTAATATGCATATTCCATATAATAATGTATTCAATAAAACACATCAAACTTACTATTTTACTGAAAAAATGTGATAAAAAAATTATTTTTTACTGTTTTGACATTTATAAAAGAGAAAGAAAGTATAAAAAAAAGAACATAAAAATTTAGCGCTCGTGTTTCAAATGTCTTCTTATTACATACTCTACTCACTCCTAACCGATTAATTATTTCCAATGATGTAAACTATAAAGGATACTTATTCTACATTATTAATACAAAACAAACAAAAATTGTTCTTATTGTTTAGTTCAATACATTGGAATACCCGAATAGATACTATTATGTCATGGATCGAAGATGAAAATCGACCGGCTAATCTTGTGTTTGCATATTTTGAAGAACCAGATAGAACTGGTCATAAAAAAGGAGTCAGCTCACAAGAAATCAAAAATCAAATCGCTAGAGTAGAGAACACAGTCAAGTATATTTATGATTACACTAGATTATATAATATATATTAATATTTAATACGTACATACTAAAGAAAAAAAATTTCAATGATCATTTGAAATAGCAAATGGGCATTTAATAGTTAAAATTAAAATTAATTAATGACAAATTACAATTTTTTTCAATCAAATAATATTAAATCTTTTCTTTTTCAATAAGATAAGTTAGTATTTTTCTGTAACTTATATTTTTTAGAGTAAGATACATTGTTAGTTATGAATGTTATACCAGCTTAACGTTCTTGAATAACTAATTCAAGTTATTTTTTTCATTTACTTGTCCACCTATGCTAAACTTGTTAAGAATATATCAAAAATATTTTTTAAATAATTATTTTGTTCTGTTTAATACACATAGATACATGCTGGAACAAATAAATTATAAAAAATTAGAAAAGGAAATAAACCTCATAATTCTTAGTGACCACGGAATGGACACAGTTACATATGATAGAATTATATTTTTAGATAATTACGTATCCAATATGACCTACAAATCCATTATTACAGGTCCCAATGCATTTATACTACCAAATATGGGTAAATAGTTTAGAACAATAAACATCTCGTCTCATACATTACAATATCAGAGACACTAAACATTATTTTCAGGAAAATTTGACGAAGTTTTTACAAATCTTTCAAACGGAGCCAATATATCAAATACATTTTATGTATTTAAAAAATATCAATTACCAGACCGTTGGCATATGAAGAATAATCCTAGATTGAACGGAATTATTTATTTGTTGGCAAAACCCGGTTACGCGTTTTGGTACAGTTTTTATCAAACAATTTTGGATCAAACAAGTTAGTTAACATCAAACAATTTCACAAAAATTGAAAAATCAATGCTCATTCCTATATAATTTGTATATAATATATACCTATTATTATTGTAGTATGAATAACTGAAGTATTCATCTACAATATTATTCTTTTGTATACTATATTACTATCCATAGTATAATAAGTTAATTAGTTAATGTGTTTTTACACTTTATTTATTTGTTTGTAAACATTATTGCTTTATCTTAGATGACTAAATGGTAAAGCCATTTTACCGGCGTTAATAACATCACTAAGTCGATTATCTAGTACCGTTATTATACACTTGTGGTATATCCATGTATTCCTAACATTTTTTAATATTTTTTTCATCTGTTTTACAGCCAAGGAAATGTTCAAAGTTGGGACCCACGGGTACGACAACGACGACCCTCAAATGCGCGCACTTTTCATAGGTTCAGGACCGATGTTTAAGAGAAACTTCACCGCACTGCCATTTGACAATGTGGACCTGTACCCGCTGATCAGCCACCTGTTGGCCTTAAAGCAGCCAACTAATGACACTCCGCACGTGAACGGGACGATAGCCGGCGTCGAACAGCTTTTAGTGTCGCCCAAGTCGTCAAGTGCCGACACGTTGTCGCCGCACATTCTACCTACCATAATAGCAACAGTAATTGATACTATGGTAAGGTTACCTAACCTAACCTTACCGTAATCAAATATCCGGTCCGGTCGCTTGATATATAATAATATAGGTACGACAAATTATAGTCTGGTTTGTTATTGTATTCGACGTAATCACTTACTTATGTTTGTGTACACAAAAAGGTTTTAACCGTTTACTTGTAAAAGTATATCCATCAATAAGGTATATTCATGTTATTATAAATAATTATTTTTGTGGTTTTTTAGTGTAGCATCGTCAAAAAATCTATTGAATCCTCAGTGAAATTATTGAAGACGGATTTTTTGTAAATTTATTATTTTAATCGTTAAGTATATAGATGTTTCATTTTAGTTGTTGAATACAATAATGCTAAATAATATTGAGTGATTTATATTTTATATAATACGTACATTTTAATTTTTGTGCTGTTTCTTTACAAATATAATTTTTACAATATTTGGATACTTTGATTTATTTCTATAAATAGGTAACTAAATGTGAAGATAATAAGTTTTAACTGTGAAACTACAATGGTACACGGAAGTATGATATAATTTTCACAACAACGGTAACAATATAGAACTTGTTTTACTAACCTTTGTTGCTGCAAGTTACTTTGAATCGATATTCTAAATATTTTGTTTACAATTTTAAACTTACATCTAGTCATAAAATTTATGAAATTTGCCTATATTAAGCCCCTTAAATAACGCCGTTAAACGGCAGTAGAATTTTCGACTGGTATCTTTGAATTTTAATATTAGTTTCTATAGATTAATTATTAGTAACTAGATTAAATAAAACTTTCATTAACATTTTTTTTTCTACATATGAAAAAAGTAATAAGAAAATATCTGGTTATTCTGCATTTAATAAAATAAGTTGAAATGTAGTTAGTCTACAACATCAAAATTACATATGTGATAATATTGAATTTAATAAATATTAAATAGTTCTAAATACCACATAAATTTACTTAGCTGTTTCATAAATTATTTACTTAATTTTATCGTTATTTTAATAACATTTTTACTACCATCGTTTTAGGTATGATATACAATAAATTCATCTTAGACTTAACCAACACTTAATCATTTATATTCTCCATGTATCATATTGTACTTAAACATGCCCTATAATTTATAAAAGTATGAATGACAAAAAAACCGAACATTATTACAGTTTGATTTTTGAATAGCCGAAATTCACTATAGCTCTGTGGTTCATAATTGTATTATTATTTATTTTAATTCGTAAGCAAAATTTAAAATTACAATATTCATTAGTATTTAGTTATTAATAAACAGTTTATAACTTTATGAGACACGGGAAAAATGAACCCATAACATTTGTGTCCCTAAATAGCCTATCCAAAACGCCGTTCAATCACATTTATTAAATGTATAAAATATATATGTAATATTAACATAACACTACACTTTAGCTGTATAAAATGAAAGTTTAAGTTAACAAATTAAAAATAACAATTATTAGAAATATATATGAAACTTAAAAAATATAACAAAGAAGTAAGAACCCGATAGTTGGCATTTTTGTTTGTATTAATTAAAGCCCTTTAGGTTAGCGATTTAAATTCAAATTATAAATCAGATAACAAATTATTTTCACAGAATTGTTACATTTATTACACTGATTAAATTAAAATAATTTTTTAAAAGTAATTATATCGTCTTAAACAATTAAATATCCATAATAAAAACCATATTTTTAAAATGTATAATTTATATAGTCTTGTACCGAATAAATTAATTACAAATATAACGAATGAGTCATAAAAACTGACATTATTAGTTATGTAATGATATATTACTGATCAAAATTCTCCATTTAAATTAATTCACTTAATTTCTAATTAAGAAATAAATAATAATACCATATTTTAATATTACATAAGAAAGTTTTTGAGTTAACAAGAAATTATTACTTTTCAAAACTACATAAAAAACACTACAAATATTTTTATACATTTCTATCGGTTTAAAATTTGACATATTTGGTTTATTAAATATTTTCATAATTTAATATTGTACAATTTAAAAAAAAAAAAAAATTTTAATACATTTTTAGTCATTAAACGCGTAAACGCGTAAAATAAATCATACAACTATAATACCAGTATAGTAGAATACTTATAAGCGTCCATAAGTAACATTCTAGGGAGATTGAAGGAAAAATAAAAAATAAAATTAAAATTGAAGTTAATTAATAGTGTAATGTTATTATTTTAACATATAAATATACCTAATATATATCCTATTATTTATATGATTAATATTTGTATTGGTATATTATATTTATTTAAAATAAATTTTAATAAGTGCAGGAAAAAAATATAAAATACAAAAATAATGTATAATAAAATGTATAAACCAGTATTACTAAATAAAAACTGCATGTTTTTTCGTTTTACGATGTCTAAACCATTAGATATACCACAAAAAATATGTATTTATAATTATAAGTTGATATTATTTTTCCAGGGTAGTATGATTGGAAACTTTCCATACTCCCTCCGCAGTCCGCTCAATCGGTGCCCTTGAGAATATTTTTATAAATTATGTAATTTTTATACAATGAAATATAATAACAAATTTAAGTTTTATTATTTTAACTTTTGTTGGAAAATATACGAGATATCCTTAGGCATATCGTAAATATGACAAAAATTAATAGTGTATATTATATATTTACAATGAGAAAAAGAGGCAACCATTACTCAATATTGAAACTTTCTATTTCTTTTAAAAAAAATAAACTTCTTGCATAATATCAAATATCAATAGTTTGTCGTCTAAAAGTCACCTAAATAAAATTATTTATATGCTTTATGAAATTGAAAAATAATAAAAGAATTTAGATGGATGAGATTCCTAATAAAATTTGTAAAATTCCTTATAAATATTTCGTTGTTTCTTTGATATAAGTGAACTTTCAACAAGGAATTTTTGATATTAAAATTAAATAAATATTCTTTGATTTATATTGTAACAAATAAATTAATATATTTTGATTAATACATTAATAAAATGAATATGACTGATAAGTTGTAAAATAAAATTTGGTTGCGGCTTACCAAACAAAACATTTTTTTTTTATTATTAATAATAATCATGACAAATTTTATTTTGAAAATAACCATTAACTAACATTAAAATATTTACTTTGGAAGTTAGCTAAACATATATAGTATATGAATGGTAAAAACACAAGATATTAAAAACAAAATAATTGTTCACTTATTTGTCTAGTGTAGTTGTGTTTTAATGATATTTTTAAAAATTATTACAAAATATTTTTAGTATCTAATCGATACATAGACTTATATAACATGACTAAATTTTAAACACATCTATGAAAAAAATCTACTATAAATTAAAAATTAGATATTTTTTTTATGATATTTTTACTTCTGAAAAATTCATCTTACGTATGATAAAAAACGCAGTAAAAGAGTTTTTACTTCGATCATAATACTAATTAAAAACAATCTGTAAATAACTAATTTTTATTTTTGAGGTCTTATAATAAATATATATTATATATAATAATTATCTCAATATTTCTCATGTTATCTCGTAGGTGGTAACCTATTTGATATTTTTAGTTTAAAACGATTTATTTAACTAATTTTCAATGAGTATTAATCAAAGCTTCATATACAATTTACATAATTATCACATAACATTTTATAGTGCCTACTCATAGTACTACAATACGAATGCTTTAAATTTTATATTTGTCTAGAGTGAATTTGATTGAGTTTGTTATAATTTAAACTTTATTAAAACTACATTTACAAATTTCATATATGAACATAATTGACCCACGGTAATGATTTAGAAAACATTGATTAAATAAATCTAGGTAAACTATAATGAGATTATTATATAATAAAAGATAACAATTTATAAATCAAATTGTCGTTTCTGAAAATAAACAATACATCGATAACCTTCACTTAATGTAATATTTAATATCAATATTTTTAATATATTACACCTACTAGTTACAACTATACAAATTACTATTGAAAATATGATATAATACTTAGCATTATGTGAAATAAATACATATTCTATTGTTAGTAAATTATTATGTTTTATGTATATAAAATAACATATTATAATTTTTACATTTTAATTTTTTGTTTTTTGTTAAAAATAGTATGCAAATATTTTATACAAAAATCAATCATTTACAATATCGGTGTATACTTGTAAACCGTTAGGTATAAGTTTTATGTTTTAACTTAAATCAAAAATTTAAAAAAATCTAAATTATTTAAACAGTGATTAGAAAAACTATAAATGGTAATCAAAAAACTCTTTCAGCTATTCAAAAACTATTTTTTATTATTTAAAATTCTATTAATTTCTGCAATGTTATAATTTAATGCCAACATTTGGAAAAAAATCAAAAATAATATTATACTAAATCTTATTCAATAAATTATGGCATAAATGATTTTATACGTTATCAGCGTTTGTTCTATTTTCAAGCATTTTTAAACATTTCTCTACATGACACACCTATTTTTTAAACAGGTCTAATAAACAATTTTAATAACCAATAATACAAATTAAAATACATTTAATAATTACAACTAGTCGGGTAACCAACTTAATTTTACTAATATTTTAATTTAATGCGCTCAAATCATACGAGGTCATTAAATAAAATAAGTACCTACAATCTATTGCCAAGAATATTATGTATTTCAGTTAGATAAGAATTAGGGCTATTATGAAGAGATAATGGAAATAGGAAGTCGATCGATCTCTTCTGGGATTTTATTACGCGCTACAACAATATTATGCATCACTACATCAGATAAATGTGTCAATGGTTTTAAATTTTTACGATAGGTGCATAAAAAATTATTATGATATACCTATAATAATTTGTGATTAATATCATGAAATTCGTCTCGACGCGGAAAATATCCTAAGCAGTAAAGATTAATTGAAAACGAAGTTTCCTATAACCACATTTTACTGAAACAGGCGCATAAAGTATCTACATACTCGTATAATATGTATGCACATGTATTATGTAGTTTTAACGTCAAACGTACAGTATAAATTATGAATTATGAATGCTCGTTTGACAACCACAAGACGTACTTACACAGTATACGTTGTTGTTTACTTGACCTAATAACTGTGGCACAGAATTTTCGTTACAATTGTCATTTAATTTTTTTTTTTTTCGTATCTATACTTAACATATTTATTTTTTTCAAGTTATTATTTCACGATTTAATTAATAACAAAAAATACGTGTACAAAATATTTAATATGGTTATATAGCACAGTATGTAAGTGAATTTAAGAATGTAAAATATAATATATATTAGGTATTATTGGTATAGTTTTGAACTTTTATCTGTTTTAATC